GACCTCTCCTGATCCTGATGGGGAGGAACTAGCTGACATTGTGTACAGTTAATGATTCACACTTAAACACTTACAGACCAGTTAGATAAAGATAGCTAGTTCTGTCACGATTGACCGTCATGAAAACACTTTTTAAACAATGCACGACCATTTCTGTCATTCATTTGAACCGTTCTTCATCTGTTTCATCTGTTTAATAACTTACTCTCTGTCATAAGAACGGCATCCATCTTTGAAGTCATTCAGCCAATCTTTAGACTGATCACTCTTTATGGACACACATCGGGGTTCAGGAGACTTTCCTCTCTGCTGATGTGAACTGAAAGAAACACTGAGATTACATCATCACATCATCATCTAATCATGAAGCATCAGCTCACATGGTGTCCGTCCTCACAGAGACCAAAACAAGGTAAAGGTCCATGAAGTGATGTCTGGATGTGGACCATATGACTCCCTGTAGTGGTTTAGGTCTACTGGTCCTGCTGGTCCCACTGAGAATCAACAGCTCAGTCTTTCAGCTCACTGTTTTCTTCACCAGTCAGTTTGGTTTAGTCCCAACAGGTCTTACCAAGTCCTCCATGGAGCTTCCCCTCCCTCACTGGACACTGCTGAAGGGCCTTGGAGCAAGAAACCCAGAACCTCCACCAGAGAGTCTGCTAGAAACACCTCAGCATCAGCCTGAGACCCTCACCTTGCCTCAGCAGAGGGACGGCCATCTTTGAAGACTAATAGAGACTCCATAGACCGGTTACTCTTCATGGACACACAGCTGGGTCCAGCTCCTGGTCTCTGATGGACCCTGGTCACACATGTAGAACCAGAGTCAGTGAGTCAAAGACGTTGGGACATGGAGAAGAGTGGAGGACAGTTGGAGATGGTCCTCTCACCTCTGAGCTGTGGTCTGGCTGTCATGTTCCCCACACAGAGAGGCTTCAGAGGGAGGGACTCCCTCCTCTGGGTCCTCACCCTGATTCATAGCAGAGTCCACACCTTCACACCTCCACAACAACCTGCTGGGAGAGCTCACACATTATTTATCTTCATCAGGACAAACACACAGAGCTCATTCACCTCAATACTAAAACTATCATGGGACACTTTCTGTGTTGTTGTCGTCTATCTGTTAAAGTTTAGACTTCTGGAGGAAGACAAACTTTCTTTTTTCTTCTTTATGCCTGTCAACATGTTTACATTGTTCACTTCACCGTGATGTGATCAGTTAGTTAAAGGTCGACTACAACCTGTTGATCAATGAGAGAAGAACTGAACACTAAAGAAAACACAAACACATTCAAACACTCTAAAAAGTGACTAAATGTGTTTAAAGCAGATGAAGAAATGAACATGGAGCTTTGTGGACTTAAAGGACTGAAGCAGCAGGTGAGACAAACAGAGCGTCTCTCAGGTGTGTTTCAGGAACAAAGGACCAGGTGAGCTCTGTTGTCCCTGCTGGGTCCTAGTGCTCCTCCGACTGCTACCTTCCCCTCCTCATCAGTAACAGTCCTCACAGACCCCAGATCAGACTGAGCTCCTCTTCTTCATCAGTCAGACTAACAGCAGCTTCTCTCTGCCTGCTCACACAGGCGCCATCTTGTTTTCCAGCTTTAAACAAACACACGTTCACAACCATCAATGATGTCATTCAACCAATCACAGCTCCACTTACTGAACTTGTAGACATGAAGTTCCTCAGTGAGCAGCTGTCTTCTGTCCTCAGCAGGTCGGTGTAGAAAAGGAGCTTCGTGCTTCACTTCAGCTTCCATCAGACGGAGTGAAGTGACGCAGCTTGTCGTCCTTCATCAGAGAGGGTGTGTCCTCACGTCACCATCAAAGTATGCAGTCCGACTGGTTGAGTCTGAGCGGCGCTAACAGGGTCTACGGTCCTTTTGAACAAGAATCCTCTTCACTGCTCAAACAAGAGTCTTTCAGTATTAAAACCAGCACCTGTAGAATAACAGAATGGCTGTTTGGACCAGCTAGTTTAGAGGACACATGCACGCCCCTCCTTGTCACCTGGTCTTCTTATACATATAGACTCTAGAGGAAAAGGTAACTGCACCACTATTGGGCCTGTTCCCATGTCATCGGGGGCACACAATGCACAGCTCTGGAACTGAACTGTTGAGCTTGCATCCCATCAAAACGTTTGCCTTTTCCCAAAAGGCTTATCAGCTAACTGGTTGTACTCTGTTCCGTCTCCTGTAAGAATACATGTTCAAGAATTGGAGCCCGGTCGGGGTTATCAAAAATTCAGCCGAACGACTTATCTCGTTCTGGGAGATTTATTTGTCAGATCACAGGTCAAGTATCAGCGCTGCGTTTGCAAAGGCAGGAGCAGTTCAGGCAGCACACAGGCCGGAAGAAAGACCAACTCACATCAGCAAGAACATCATGTTTTATAACCCTTGAAAGACAGAGAAGGAAAGATTTCTATTTGCACTAAACTGGCGTAGAGGAGGACCTTCCACCCCCCGCATCTAAAGATCCGGTGTTGAGGAAAATAATGAATTTTGTAGGGGCCATTATGTGTTGTTGTTGGCAAAGTATATTTTGTTTGTTAGACTGTATTTATATTGACACTTTGGACACTAGGTGGCGGTGATTAGGTGCACATGGGTGTACATAAGGGACGTAGGTGACAGGAAGCGAGGGACAGGTAGGGGAGCACCAGACAGTTCTCACCAGACCACGAAGACAGACCACCATCAATAGGAGCACGTTCAACCGGTATGTTCATCTGTTTATACAATTGCCTGCAATAAATTACAGACCTCAACCACAATCATCGCTGGAAAATCTTTTGTGTGTCTGCGTCGAAACATCACTCCCACCTGTGCCTGATGGCAAAGAACAACAACGAGACAGCTAAAGGGACAGCTAACCTAAGATTGCCAATACAAATTTAATACATTTTGGAATTAGGCTGTAACATAACAAAATGTGGAAAAAGTGAAGCGCTGAATACTTTTTGGATGCACTGTAATATATATAAATTAGGGGTTCATTTTAACAACGATTCGATTCGAATCGCGATTCATGGTTGCCGATTCGATTCATGGACGATCTGGGTTAATCTAGAACGATTCGATTTGATTCAGTGACTTGAAATCGATTCAGTAACTTTACTGGACAGTGCAGGCAAAGTTTCCGAGATCCCTATTGTTTCTTGTAAGGAAATCAGGTTTAAATTAATTATGGATATTATAAACAAGCAAACAACAATTGATGGCAAATGTATTAACCTTTTATTTGAATCAAGTGCCATTTTCAATGTAAACATTAAACAATAATTACACAATGTTTGGATCAATTCACAGAACCCCGGATTTTCAACCACATTGTAGGGTCGCATGTCTTTACAGGTAAACTTGGCAAGTGTTGCTGTGATGTTGAGTTTGGTGCTGGCGAGGCCTGAGGCGTCTGCAGAGCTGCAGTTACCTGCTGCTGCTGCAGCGGTGACGCTGCTGGAGGTCCTGACTGTCGCCGTTGTTTAATCCCACGGCGCCTTAGTAGACGGCCGGAAAGATTCATCGTGTTTCCGTGTTTTTATTATTTGTCTTCTACATATTCTACAAACAGCGAGCGACTTATTTAGAACACCTCCGTGTTTGCAAAAGCCTAAATGTTTCCACGCGCTGGATCGATAAGTTGGTTTATAAATGTCTCGCTCGCTGTCGTCTCCTCCACGCTGTGTTTTGTTGTTGTTCAGAGTTTCGCGCGGCGGCCGCTGCGTACTGATGACGTCACAGACAGGCAGACTGAATCGAGCAACGTTTAACGTGTCTAAAGTGCTACAAAACAAACAAACACACACACACATCCATACCGTTTTTGTACTTAAATACAATGTGCAGTTTCCAAGTATCGATACAATCGGTTATGTACTATTTTAATCGATTTGTAATTGATATATGTCGTCCGGAATGCCGATTTGCGGAGCACAGATCGATTCAGTGAATTAATCGTTACACCCCTAATATATTAACACCAAAAATTAAACACCAATAGAAGAGTTAATTTGGTTTACCAGCTTATCCCATTTTGAGCTGATACATGAGTGAATACTGTCCTGACACAAACAAATAAGGGTTTAACTTTTGCAACTGTTTAGGTGTTACACCTAATGTTGCATTTAACCTACAGCTTTTTTAAGGAGCATCACCTTAGATTTAGTAAATTGATAACATTTTGTAATTCTGTATGGTTCAACTCATCATATGTTCGTAGATTTGTGTAAGTGATAAAGTATTTCTGTAAACTTACTGTGTAAAAACACATGTCATATGTTTGTAGCTGCTGTGTCCTCTGTGCAGGCTGAGCGCCATCTGCTGGTTATCTAATGCCCCCTGCATTTGCCAAAGAGCAGCTTTTTAACCTGAAGTCTTACTGAATGGATCAATGATGTTGATCAGTGTCAGGTTATCCCGCCCAATGCACACTCATTTACTACACAATCATTTACTAAATTAACCATGCAGCATAAAAGTAAAGGCAGTTATGGAATGTAATTAAATTTAATATACCATAAACATGTGTTTGTGTTTATTGAATGTGCAGACATGTCATTGAATATATATTTCAAATAACATTCATTAAATGATATGGGTAATATCTGAGGAGTGGAAAAGTAGAGGAAAACTGTTAGGGTCCTGACAGTCTGGATGATATCAGATGGTGATAAATACTTACTTCAAAAACACTATTCTATTTCATCTTTTCAGTGAATTGTTACAATCACTGCAACCACGCTTTTTTGCAATTGTATATTAATGATATTGACACATTAAAAATGTCCTATAATGCACTCTGTAGTAAACAAAGATGATGGAAAGATGATGACATTTGATTTGAACCGCTTGATTGACCCAGACAGCTACAGCCTGGAGATTAGTCTCTAAATGAAGGACACCTGTGTGTCATCATGAAACCCCGCCTCATTGGTCCCACCTGTTCTCATTCAACCTGTGAGAGGCAGGGAGCTGTGGTCTAGATAATTGCCCTGCGGCTTTCCTGCGGCTGCGGGTAGAAGAAGAAGAAGACAGAAGTTAGGCTGGTTGGGTCAGGCAAAGTCACTTTTCAGTGTGCGTTTGATCAGATGCCCGGCTGGAGCCATGGGCCCTGTCCTCTGGTAACGTTGAAGTGGTTCCTTCTGAACTGTTGTACAAAGTACATTGTTGTACATTCCAAATAGCTGCGATTGTTGTTTAAAAATGTATTTCTTTTGTAGCGTGGTGCTGCCATGGCTGTTGCTTATTGGAGAGCTTCCGAGAAGCTGTGAATGTAAGACAAAATGTTACAATTACAATCATGATGCAAAGTTTGGTCTTTTCTCTTGAGTTGATGCATTCAAGAAGTGCTGTTACAACATGTTGTATTCACTTTATTTCTTACAATGAGGTGATTGTTGACCTTGTGTGATTCATCAACAGCTTCCTATCAGGACTCTGGGCCTATCATTTGGGACATGAGCTACCAGTCCCAGGGCCCCGGCTACCAGTCCCAGGGCCCCGGCTACCAGTCCCAGGGCCCCGGCTACCAGTCCCAGGGCCCCGGCTACCAGTCCCAGGGCCCCGGCTACCAGTCCCAGGGCCCCGGCTACCTACAGCATGTATTGGGCTACCCACAGCCCAATCTCCTTGGCTATGCACCCGGTCTGCACCCCGATTTCATACAGTGGCAGCCCCGGCTCCAGGTGTATTTGCCAGGGCCCCACACCCAGGTCCTACAGCCCCAGTTCCTGGGCTCCCTGCCCAAGCCACAGACTCACGCCCAGCACCAGGTGCCGCAGCAGCAACTCCCTGGCTACCTGTCCAAGCTTCAGCACCAGGTCCTGCAGCACCACTTCTTGGCCTATCCACCCGAACCGCACCCTCAGGTCTCGATGCCTCAGTTTCCGGGGTACCCGTCAGAGCTTGAGACACAGATCCAGCATCCCCATGTCCCACAACCCCAGGGCCTGGAATACACATCCAGGCCACACCAGTTCCTGGACTATCCACCCGGGCTGCAACCCCATGTTGCGCAGACACAATTCCCAGGCTCCCTGTCTAAGCATCAGACTTTGGTCCAGGACCACCAGTTCCCTCCACCCCAGTTCCTAGGTTATCCACCCGGGCCACAGCCCCAGGAGCTGCAGCAGCCCCAGGTCCTGGAAAACCTGTCAAGGGCTCAGAACCAAATCCAGCAACAGGTTCTGGAGCACCAGTTCCCACAGCACCAGTTCCCCGACTATCCACCTGGGATCCTCCCGCCCCCCAACTTTCCCACATATCCCCCCGGGGCGATGAACCAGTTCCTGGGATACCCTAATGAGCCTCGTCCCCAGGTCTTGCAGCACCAGTTATCAGGCTACCAGGCCAGGCCACCTTCACAGGTCTCACATTCCCAGGTCCCAGGTTACCCATCCAAGCCTCAGCCCCAGGTCCCTCCACAACAAGTCCTTCAGCACCAGTCCAAGCCTCAGATTCAGGTCCCGCAACCCCAGGTCCGGCAACACCAGTTCCAGGGCTCTCCACTTGGTCTACTCCCTCAGGTCCCGCTGCCCAAGTTCCTGGAATATCCCCCCACTGCAATTAAACAGTTTCTGGGCTACCCTGCTGGTCCTCAGCCCCAGGTTTTGCAACCGCAGGTTCCGGGTTACCCGTCGAAGCCTCAGCCCCAACCCCAGGTCCAGGGTTACCCGTCGAAGCCTCTGCCCCAACCCCAGGTCCAGGGTTACCCGTCAAAGCCTCTGCCCCAACCCCAGGTCCAGGGTTACCCGTCGAAGCCTCTGCCCCAACCCCAGGTCCAGGGTTACCCGTCGAAGCCTCTGCCCCAACCCCAGGTCCAGGGTTACCCGTCGAAGCCTCTGCCCCAACCCCAGGTCCAGGGTTACCCGTCGAAGCCTCTGCCCCAACCCCAGGTCCAGGGTTACCCGTCGAAGCCTCTGCCCCCCGTCGCGGCCTACCCTTCTCAGCCTGAGCCTCAGCCCCCGGTCGCGGCCTACCCTTCTCAGCCTCACCATCAGCTCCCGGGCCCGGCCCACCCTTCTCAGCCTCACCATCAGCTCCCGGGCCCGGCCCACCCTTCTCAGCCTCACCATCAGCTCCCGGGCCCGGCCCACCCTTCTAAGCCTCACCATCAGCTCCCGGGCCCGGCCCACCCTTCTCAGCCTCACCATCAGCTCCCGGGCCCGGCCCACCCTTCTAAGCCTCACCATCAGCTCCCGGGCCCGGCCCACCCTTCTAAGCCTCCGCACCAGGTTCTGCAGCCCGAGGGCTACCAGTACAAGTCTCAGCCTCCGCACCAGTCCACAGACTACCCATCTAAGCCTCAGCCCCAGTTCGCTACAAGTGGGAGCAATCAAAATATTCGAAATAAAGGACGATCTTGCTCCAACTAAGGAGTCTGTGTGAAGGGATAACTGCTTGGGTTTTCCTGGTCATCATGTTAACTGCTACTTACCATAGCTGATGGGCCTCATTGACTTCAACTGGTAGCTGGTTAGAGAAATAAAATGCAATATGCACAAATTTGTAGTTGAATCAACTTATTTACAAGATGAAAGGGCTCCTTTGGGCCAAGGTCTTTGCAGCCTTTGGGATGTTAAAACTTAAATCTCATGGGTTTATTTTCTTAACCTTTAACACTAACATGGAGCAGCTTGAGTGGGTCATTGTTTCACTGAAGCAAATTATTTCATTCTATTTATCCAATTGACTGCAAATGATTATTACGGACATGACAACTTGGAAAGTACAATAAAGTTTTTAAATTGGCTTGGTAAATGTTTTATGTAAAATATAAAAAAATGTACTTCACTCAATTTTGTGGCTACTTCAACTGAGTCATGTCAGTCGAACATCAGTGCCTCCTTTATTGAGCCTTGTAATCTTTTTGTATTGAATTCAGAAAATGGTCATTGGGCCTTCAAATGTTTCATGTGAAACACTAACTGTATTGGCTTTCTTGCAGCTGCTATATTTTAAAGCTGTGAAAAGCACTTAACATCTGTGGCAAATATTGTATGGGGTTTCCTCCTCAAACAGATGTGTACACCTCACCTAAATTGAAAAAATGAATTGACAATTCCAGTTATGTAATTGATTACAGGATTTTTTCACAAACTAACAGGAAACATTTCTCTAGTTGATTCCCATTTCTAGTGTCCTTTAAAAAAGAAAAAAAATCCTTTTTACTAATCTTGAGTGACACGAGTCAAGTTCACAGGGTCTTTATCCATCATGCTGTGATGCACGCTCCATGATGGCAGATCCACAGAGGAAAGACTTATTTGTTTATGTATGCTAAGTTACTCTTTTAATGTTTAATGGTCTTGGACAGAAAAGGCAAGTGTTTGTCCTGCCCATCGTAGATTCTCATGGCATTGCAAAAGTATTAAAACGTGCTCATAGTGGCTCAAGTTATAAATATGTGTCATTTAGCTGACGCTTTTATCCAAAGTGACTTACAATGAGTGCATTTCAACCATAAGACACAGAAGGACAAGAAAGTGCAATTGCATCAAATAAGCCGATTTACAACTTGCCAATGATCAGAGCCATTATAAGTAAAATTCAAGTGCTACAATATGTTTGTCTTTTTAGTCAAGGTAGAGTCTGAAGAGGTGTGACTTTGCGGTGGAAAATGTGGAGGATCTCTGCGGTCCTGATGTAAATAGAGAGCTCGTTCCACCATTTCGGAGCCAGGACAGCAAAGAGTCGTGATCTAGTTGAGTGTTTTGCTCTCAGTGAGGGAGGGACAAGCAGTTTGGCAGATATGGAGTGTGCGGGTCGGGATGTAGGGTTTGACCACGTCCTGGATGCAGACAGCAGGCGCGTGCACAGACATTTTGGGGGGCAGGTGCTCTAACCAAAATAAAAGGGCACCCAAATTGCCCAAATTGTTTATGAAATTAAAAATATTAATAAATGAATAAAAGGCACAAATTGACAAAACAAGGCCACATCGTATTTAAGCAATAAGGTACTCGAGGAGAGGCAGTACTTTATTATTACTTACTGTTTCTGACAGAGATGAAGCATAAGCAGCGATACACTAATAATATACCACAATACACCTCACCAGACCGTCATAGCTCAACTTAAGACCCTTCATTTCAATAATTAAACTAAATTAAACAAAACTAGTGAACTTGTCTAATTTGTAAAATGAATGAAAATTCTCTGCCTGCCTGTATCTCTCGAATAAATGCCCCATCAGATATCAAAACACATTTGGGGGGAATTGATGACAGAGAGTCATTTTTATTCTTTAATATTGATGAATGAAGAAAAAATTGTGCTCCAGCAGAAGGGGCACTTTTCTCACCTAAGGCAAAAGGGCAGGTGCTTGGGCACCAGTTGGGGTCTATAAGTGGATGTGGATGGTAGACTGGACCCGATCCATACACAGCATGGTACGTGAGCACCAATGTTATGAACTGGGTGCGGGCAGCCACTGGTAGCCAGTGAAGAGAGTGGAGTAGTGTGGGAGAATTTAGGAAGGTTCAAGACCAGTCGAGCTGCTGCATTCTGGACGAGCTGCAGAGCTCGAATGGCGGCAGCAGGGTGACCTGCAGGAGGGAGTTACGATAGTCCAGGCGGGAGATGACAAGTCTGAATTAGCGAGAAGAGGAGGGGACCCAGGACGGAACCCTGAGGAACTCCAGTAGTAAGAGGACAAGGTTCCGACACAGATCCTCTCCAGGTTACCCGGTAGGTGCGGCCCTCAAAGTAGGACGAGATAAGGGAGACAGCTGAGCCTGAGACACCAAGTTCCTGAAGGGAGGAAATAAGGATCTGGTGGTTGACTGTGTCAAATGCAGCAGAAAAGTCCAGAAGGATGAGGACAGAGGAGAGAGAGGCGGCTCTAGCAGTGTGCAGTTGCTCTGAGACAGCAAGGAGAGCAGTCTCTGTGGAACGGCCTTGAAGCCTGACTGGTGGGGGTCAAGGAGGTTGTTACGGTGAAGATAGGAGGAGAGTTGGTTAAAGATCGCACGTCGCAAGAGTCATAAATGTTTAAGTGTATGTTTTGGATTTTCCATGACTGGCATCAAATGTATTTAATGTTTTAGTAGTAGTTTGGGTCTAAGCTACTTTCACCACGACAAAATACCAACGAGGTGCTTCCACACCGTCCGTCATCCTAATTCCGACCTTCCCGGCAGCCCTTGAACGCAGCATAAGAGCTGCGCTGACGGATTTCAGCCCGTAGTTAGTTGGTCACAGCCGCCCCCCTTTTTAAAGCCCTTCAACCGCCGCCGCCGCCCCCCCACCCCTCTCTGGATTGTCCACCGTGTCCCTCACATCTTCAGTTTCTCGGCTGAAGAGACGATGAAGCGCAGAGCACGCGCGCCCCGGGAGGAGCCTCGATGAGCGCCGCGCAACAGGCACCCGGGCTGCGAACCCGCTGACGGCTCATCGGCTTTACGGGAACTGTTGCACGAACCCCCCCCGCCGCGATGTCCCTGCTGTGTGTCAGAGGTAAGGACCCCCCCCGCTGCACGGTGCATGTTTGTTTCTGATTTCTTAAAACAATTAAAGGAATATAATAAATGGTTGGTAAAAAGAAAGTGTGAGCTGCGGGCGTTTGGGTGAATTGCATGGAGGGGGGGGGGGCAAAGTTAATCCCGTGCAAGATGTTCGGATTTTGTAGAAATATCACGTTGGAACCCGGACGTCCTGTATCAATAGTGTCCTCACAGGGCATTAAGAAGGAGATACATTGGATGTATAACGCTGGGTTCTGCAGTGTCCTTTTTATGTTGATGTTCCTCGTCCCGCCAACACGCAGGCGACGATACAGATGAATAAAATAAACCTACTTTAGTGGTTTCCAGCTGTTCCTCTTCACTGTTGTAACGTGTATAATTGAAAGGTTCTACCGTGTTACATTGAGTTCCCTACATTTCTACCTCTTACTCCAAAACCTGTTATCTCAGATGGAGGTCAATGGCACTGTTTGGGGTGTGTTGACATGAGACAGGTCAGAACAATACATTTCTTCATATTAACAACGGCGTTTTGCCTTTTAGCTTTTAAAAATGACATTGTTGGTTCATGGAGGTTTTCCTGGATGATTTGTTCCTCCGAGTTTTAGAAAAGTTAGACGTGAATACAACAAATAAAAGTCTGAGGCGATATTCTTATAGATATATATATATTATAGACAGATATATTATCTTTATGTTGGCTGATTAACTCATTAGACATTGCAGTACACAAATGCTGAAGATATATTCTCCAAGGAGCACTTTTTAGTTTGGTCACATGTTGACGTGTCTTTGAATGGTTCAAATTCATGGTTTTTAATATAAAGAAGGAGCATTAGACAATATATGGTGTTGCCATATTTTTAATCAGTCGGGCTACATGGAACACGAGAGATAATCATTTACAACTAATCATTAAAGAGCGACGCTTTGGGTCCGAGCAGTGACACTGTGAATATGTGAGTAAAAAGCACAGCATTAAAAATGAAGACCTTTTTAATGTCTCTTTATGAAATGACTGAGGCTGAAGACTGTAAATGTTTAATTGCTTAAAACTGGGTATTTAAAGGCACAGGCTCTGTTTCCCTGGAGTTGCTGTTGTTTTCGCCCCCTTTTTCACGAGTCTTTCATATCTACTGTTCTTATTCTCAGTATACTGCCGTGTTCCTGCAGCAGCCCAGATGGGTCGAACCAAACGCCGGCTCTATGGGAGACATTCATGTTTATAGGTTGCTCCGGCACGGAAGCCGTGCTACGGATGAAGGCGTAGGAACAGGAGGCTGTGGTTGTGTGTGAGAATAATAAGAAACAAGCCGTGTGTGTGTGTGTGTGTGTGAGATCAGGAGGACGAAGTTTCGTTAATGGAAGGTTAAATACCAAAACATAAATCGGTTTATTTAACAACTTGGCTTCTTTCCAGATTACAAATGGCTCTTTCACAGAAACGCTGAAAACTATTGTCCGCCTATCTCAGCCTCTCAGCCTCTGGCGTATTCTTCCTCACTGACCGGTTTCTTTTTTTCTACCATGTCGGTGGGGCGGAGAGACGGTTTGGTGTGAGGCACAGCTGGTTCCCACTGGCCTCCGCCAAGTGGAATTACATATATATTAGAAAAAAGGTTTCAGATTGATGGAGAGTGCAGCTCACCTGTATCAGGAAAACCTCCTGAGTGGTGTGTACACGCACACGCACACACACACACACACACACACACACAAATCTTTGAACACTACACTGAGTCAGGCAGAATCTTTGAAGCCAAGCAGATGTTGTTCTCGACCGTTGGGTATCGGTGCTCGTATCAAATACTGAAATCAGTCAGTAGCAAGTAGAAATTCTTCGTTGACCAATCCGTGAATTTATTTAATCAACAAAATGTGAAAACTCCACAGAGAATCTTGTGAAGGCACCATTGTAAATCCTGAGTTTAACGGAAGTGCTCATTAGCGTCTTGGAAATAAGTCGCTACGTGGAATCAATCGTCTTTGAGGAAGATTCTGAACCCCAAATTACCAAATTACCTCACAGAGGAGAACATGTTAGTCATTGAAGGGATGTTATGTTCGTTTTAAAACACAATCATTATACTATACTATACTATATACTATATATATATATGTTGATTCTTCTGGGTTTGTTTTTAAAACTCACCTTTAAGAGCTAACGTGTGTAACCTAAAGTCAGACTTTGGATTGTGTACTTAAAATCTAAAACTGCTTCTTAAACCCCCGAGTTCTCCGAGCGATCAGTTCAGAGATCAGCTCACCGCGGAGAGACGCCCGTAACCCGGTTGGTTATTTAAGAGCGTGCGAGTAGACGGGGATTCCTGAGTGCCGGCTTCTCAGCTGGGTGGCCTCCGTTAGCTACGTAGCTACGTGGCTAACGGAGGCAGAGGGGCCGTTGGGCTCATTGTACACAACCAGTCTCGCTCGCTTTAACCGTCTTTTTACACTTTTAGTTTCCCACTCGTAAGCTCATTTTAAAAATGCTGAGCTACGTCGATTTGCTTGGCGTCGGTTCTGCTCTTCTTTTATTTTCCAGGAGCCGCGTACTGTTGGCGCCGCCCGGTACGCCCCTCTTTTACGTTAATCGGGTCGTGTGGCGTTTGGGTCCAAAGTTTCGCTTAGGAAATGGAAGGAGAGGCGGTGAAAGGCCCCAGTAACCCGTTTTGGGTTTTGTGTGTCTTCATCCCCGGCGTGGCGGACGGCCTCTCCCGGATTCAAAGGACCTTTCCTCTCATTGACAGAAATGCGGTCAAACCAGAAGAGCCGCACCCTCTCCGCCTCTTGAGAGCCGCGATTCCTCCTTCCTCCTTCCTCCTTCCTCCTTCCTCCTTCCTTGTCGCGACGCCACGCCGGCTCGCAGCCCTCAGAAGAGAGCGTGAAAAGCCAGAGGAGGACACAGCTCAGTCCGCCCCCCCCCCTCAGCTATTCCAGA